AGGTGATGGAAACATAGTTGTTGTGTTTGCAGCAAAGCGTGAAAATCTGTGTGGTTGAACGTTGAGGCTTGAGGCTTCCTCTGGTAGGTTCATGTGTGTAAGAGAGCCCTGCAGTAGCAGATAATAGGATCAAGGCTCCTCGTTCAAAGTGTAACATGTATAATATCTCTCTCTGCCTGCTGGATATGATAAGTGCAAAAAATTCAAAGACAAAGGAGGAGAGATAATAGATGCAATCGAATCAGCTAAGCACTGCTACTCATTGGTTGGCTTTCTTTTTTTTCTGTCATAATGACAACAAACACGATTATTCACGTTTTTGAGTAAGAACCATCGCTCTCTGTTCAGTGATCTTGTCTGGGCTTGTGCACCTCCTGAATGCTCTCAACCAGGATCCCAGTCATGGAAATCCATCTGAAAACAGTTCTAATTGACAGAATAGACATAAATAAGTGTGGGAGGAGAAGTCAGTGCAAACTCACACGTGTATTACATCAGACATTTGCAGAGAGACGGGTCTTCTTAGTCAACACTCACACTCAAGGGCACACTTTGAAACAAGTTTTCTGTTTGTCAGAGACAAGCAACCCACTGATGCTTACCACCACCCTTTTAAATAGAGTGACATTGGTTATCAAGATCGTACTCACAACCTAGAAAAATAATTTAAGCATTACATTTTCCATTGAATTATTAATGGCACTCATGAAGAAGAGAATGTCACAACAGGAAAAGTCCTAGTAATAGTTAGTGAGAGATTTATTGAGGCCATGACTAATAGTCTGTTAGTTATTCATGAAGAGAGGCAAGAAGAAAGCAATTTTTGAAAGAAAGCCGCATTTGCAGTTTGCTATAAGTAATGTAGGGGACACTGCAGATATATGGAAGTAGGAGATTGGATCAGAAGGCACTAAAATGTAATGTTCTGACCTACAAGTATATGTGTATATGTTGTTTGTTATTGTGGTTTCTTGCATTTTTTTTCTCTCTCTCTCTGCAGGTCTAGAGGCAGACTTCTAGCAAAGAGACTTGTGCCCTCTCTATGCTTCTTTCTCTCCTCTACTCCTTTTCCCTTTCCCTTTAAGCATTTTCTCCACCTTTCTTCTCCCTCTTTCTCTCCTTTTTTCATCCCTGTGTACATTATATTTGAAATAAACCCACCTGTGTAAGCCTTTGATGAAAAAGTAAGACATGTGGTTAAATCGCGGTTACTGTTTTATTAAACCACCCTTGGTCACATATCACCTCAACCTGTTCCTCTTCACAGGTCATTTTTCAGATAGAAATCTCATTGCGGTAACTTATCACAATTTTCTCTGTTAATAATGCTACAACAAAGATTTCTAATGGAAACCTCATGATGTGTGTTGCAAACGGTTAATGGGTGACTTTTGACTCAAGCCCCTGCAACACACGTGAGTTTCCTTTTCCTGTTCTTTGACATTTTCTGTGGGCTTTTTGTGAGACAATGTGTCTGTGTGGGCTTTGAGTAAATGAGAAATATACTGAATAGAAGCCACTTCTTCTATAAAGGACAGACGCTGTTTCTAGTATCTGTCCTTTTTTAACCCATATCATAGCACTAGAGCTTCATTAGAGCTTTACTAGAGCATTATTGTGCACAAAGACATACAGGTGATTGAAGCTGACCTTTAGATTTTATCTTCTGGCTTCTTAAATACCATCTCCTTCGTGATTACACATTTTTAGGAAGCTTACATAGAGAACAGATACTAGTGTTTAGCTCATTGTCAGGTGCAGTGTAATAAAACCTCACACACGTCAATACATTCTTGAAACTATTTCATATTTTTTATCTGCTCTTGAATTTCCTAAGCTTGGCGAAACTACTACTTTATGTAGTCAAACAGGTACTACTTCAGTAATGTTTTTTAAATTATTCGTAATGTCTTACGGTAATTAGGCCTGAGTGTGGCATCCGAAACTGAAAACAAAATATATATATAGTTGCAACACTTGTTAAAGGTGCAGTAGGTAAATTATAAAAATATTTACATATTTGTTGAAACTTTCACAACATATAACATGAAATAGATCTGTTAAAAAAAAGTCTCTGCCTCCTCCCTGTGATCCTGCTGTCATGTGCAATACACTGCTTGGTCAAAAATAACCAATTAGAGCCAGTATCAGGATCTTAGCACTGTCAAACACGCTAGTGTAAGCGCTGCTTAAGATTGCTGGTTTGCTGCAGCTGTGTTGATGGTGTAGACACAACTTAGCATTACAGGAACACTGTCTTTGGTGGCCATGTTTTTACCAGCCTGCACCTTCACAGTAAACTCCACTTTGAGAACAAGGGCCAGGGTGTGAGCAACGTGTATATGAGCATAATTGACAGTGCTAAGACCCTCCTCCTTTGTGCAGATGGCAGCAGGACCACGGAGAGAAGGCTTTTTTTTTTTTTTCGCACATTACGTGTTTCATTTAATACTGTCATAACAAATGTTTAAAAAAAAAAAAAACATACTTTTTTTAAATAAATGTTACCCAAAACCTTTAAGGATTTAATATTATCACATATGAACATGTTGGATTGGATAATGTTTTTCACTGCATTTTTGTATTTGATTGGATTATCTGTGTTTGATGTAAATATTTTTTGTACAGAGAAACTCGCTCTTGGCTCATAGGCAACCAGTTTCTCCATGTGGAATGCTTGAAATACACATTACCCAGGGGCATACCAGTCATCTGTCAAAAAGCAAAACAACTTACTCATACCAAAATGATTAACCAAATCCCTGATTCATCCCCAAAACACCAGGTGCAAATTTACCCCGATGGGCCCCAGACTGGTCATAATGAGTCCATGCAGGATAAAAACCTGTGGGAAACCACTCTGTCAGCTTCTGCTGGATTTACATGATGATGTTCTGAAAAGTATTTTGTCCATCATTGCTTTTAAATTTTCATCATTAAGTCTTGTCAAACCAATTTAAAAGCAACAGAATATGTGAAAATATAATCCAGAAGACCAGTCATCGGTGCAGTCAGTCCATCTGTTCAGTCAACAGATCGAAAGAGAAAAACAATTTGAAAATGTTTCCATCTGCGTGTTTGTTTGTCCCTCAGGCCTCTTCTACAGTTTGCCAGCGAACGTTAAATGATTCAGTGATGAAACTATTGTGGTCAGATGATCGACCTCTTCGGCATGACCTCAGCCTGTCGTGTTCAGAGAAAGCTGAAAAGTTGCATGCAAGCTAAGATTAAACATTATGACGTGGAACAGTTTCAGCTCTTAGAAGATAGGACATACTTGGTCCTTATTGAAACATCTTAGAGAATAATTCAAAACATGCTGTCAAGGCAATAGACTGGCTGAAGAAAACTAAAGGTCCTGAAGGAGCCTAGCATTTTTGTAGATATCAATCCTACAGAAAATTTATGGATGCAGTTAAAACTTTGACTTACTCAGTGACTGTCAAGAAGCGTAAAGGATTTAAAGTTAAAGGAGTGGGGCTAAATCTATCCTGGCTAGCAACTACAGATAGTTTCTTATTCTTACTGCTTGTGCCTTCCATTAAAGAGTTATCCACCTAACGTCTGCTTAGGTAAGGGATCAAATGATTATTTAACTTGGCGCCAGCACTGTTTGTTTATATCTTTGTATGTCAGCCATTTATCAGATCATCAAGGAGTGAAATGAATAGTTCTCCCTGTGTATAATAGATTCTATACAACTGGTAACTAAAACCAGAAGAGAACAAAATGTGACCAAACGCTCATCATGAGCACAACTTGTGCGGTCCGTTACTTAACAAAGCTGCCCTTTTTCTAGCAAGCAACGTCTAAAGGGGATCTAACAAAATTGGGCAGATGACTGTGTAATATCTAAATTTGCACAAATTTACCAGCCTCAATTATTTTTATTTTTTTTTTAAGAAATCCTTGCAAGCCTTTACATCAAATCTACCAAAACAGAGAACGCTCCATCATAAAATGCAGCTTTGCCATCAAGCATGCTGATCTTTGAGTGAATCAAATGATATTTTTCCCTTCCTTCACTCTTATTTAGTTGCTTGATGCATAAGATTATTTTGTGGGTTTTTTTTGCTGTGTGAAAAGTCACACTTGTCGAGGCTCGAAGAACTTTCGCACTACTCTACCCGATATGCACACGGAGTGCTTTACATTCTCTCTAGTAAGCATTTTAGGAACAAAATGAAGACACAAAGTCTTACACCACACTTGGCCAAGCCATGTAAATGATTTTACAATATAAACCACCTTTCACATAACTTACACCATCAAAACTATGCAGAAATGCATACCCCACATGTCATGGTTTACACTCTTGTAACTTCACGTTGCTTCACCAGGTACCACAGTTTGCCATTTCTCACAGGAAGTCTAACCATAATTTGTGTGACAGAAAGGCATCAGAGAAGAAATTCAGATTTGATAAAGAAACTTCCTAATTTAGGTATTAGGAACTGAAACAGATGTAGTTTTTAAAGCCTCACCTGTGGGATGCAAAATGGAACAGAAGTGTAGGTTTTCAAAATTATCTAAAAGAAGAAGCCAAGTTGGACAAGAAAACAAACACTGCTAATCATTTGAATCAGGCTCTTAAAATCTCTATCATCACCTGGTCATAGTGGTTGTAACGTGGTGTAATAAAATTCAAATTAAACCAGCCCACTCTGATGTCTCCCACATCTTTTTGAGCCTAGACTCTGGCTATGTGGTTGCTCTGGATATGAATTTTATTTTTATGCCTAAAGATAATCTTTCTGAACAATTAACTCCAATTTTGTTTAGCAGAAAAAAAACAAACAACAAAATCTAAATGATTTAGTTCTGTTTTTAGTTTTTTTTTAAAGAACTGTGCACATGATTCGAACATGACTTTACCTCAACCCTGACAAGGTTATTCGTGCAGCTTTGACTTAAGCTCAGCCAAACAGCAACTAACCACTTCCTTTTCTCAGCACCTCCTCTGCAACAACATTTAAGGCAGACAGTAATGTTCCAGCTAGTCTCTCGCTGTCTGATGGTCATCATGTTCAGCCTGAAGCAAGCTGCACTGCTCTTCATTCAGCTGTTACAGACAAACTACGTATTTGCAGGTATAGAGATGATTTCTGTTTGTTAATCAAGATTATTAATTTAGGATGTCCTGTTAATTTATTTATTTTCCCTTCAATGTCAGCGTTCGCTACAGCAGACCACTACGATGTGTTGGTGTCCAGAGGAAACTCAGTCCTGCTCACTTGCAATCTATCTAATGA